TTTTGGAAGATATTTTTCAGGCTGGTATGTGGACAATTCCCAATACTTTTGTCGCTCTCTATCTGCACAGCATAGCTGTGTCTTTCTTGAGCGGGTATTGTCTTCCTCCTGTGATGATTCTACATGTCTGTTTGCCTTTGCCTGGGTTAAGTTGATGTATTATTCTTTTATACATTAAATCGTTGATATACATCATATTTCAGGATCCCACCTGGTGGTGGGTGTTGCCTGGTCAGGTATGCTAAATTTTATATCTTGGCACTACATCTGTATACTTCCAAACGCTCACTGTGGAGATGGGGTGTTTCTGTAATATTATCGGCTGCTTATCCGGTGGTGTTTATATATATATATATATATATATATATTCTTTTTTTCTTATCCGTGTACTATATATAAAGTATCATCACTCATGGACTTTATGAGTAAAGCAGATTGGGATTATTGCCCACCCCTACTGACCTGTGATTCGGGGTTTTTCTGCTTTTCAAAATAGAGAATTGCAGACACCCATTGCACTGTCTCTAGTGCGTTGTTCCTCTGGACTCCCCAACATGTATTGCTCCCCACTTTCTTCCAGTGGAGCATGGGAGTCCTTGCTACTTCCAGTTCACAGTCGTTGGAGTGGTGTACTGTGGAGGTTTCTTCTGGAGTGGGATTTGTATGATAAAAGAAACTTCATAGTCATATGTACCCACTCTATGAAAAGAGGGCTATCATTTTTATATTTTATGTTGTACAATATCATAATATGCTCAATCAGGTGCTTCTCCCAAATGTTTTTTGCCAAAGTAGACCACACTTGTTGATCACGAAATACAAATTTTATGCAAGGTGCTTCCACTAGATTATTTCTGCACAGATGGACCACACTTGCTATACTCATGTAGAACACTAGGTGCTTCTCCCAGATATTTTTGCCTGGGCCAACTGCACTTGTTGATCTCTAAATAACTTGTGTACAAGATATGAAACAGTCAATTTATGTAAGCCACTTCCACCAGATGTTTCCTGCCCTGGATGGATTACACTTGTCATACTACATCATTTCACAAAGCACTTCTCCCGGATGTTTTTTGCCTGTGCGGACCGCATTTACTGATCTCTCAAAATATTACGTTCAAGATCTAAAGTGATCAGTCTTATGCAAGGCACTTCCACTGAATTTTTTCTGCCCTGATTTACCGCACTTGACATACTCCGTAATTTCACAAGGCATTTCCCCCAGATATTTTTGCCAGGCTGACTGCACTTGTTGATCACACAATCTGTTATGTACAATATATGAACAACAAAAAATGCTATGCAAGGTGCTTCCACTGGATTTCTACCCAGATGGACTGCACTTGACATAATCTGATGTATACCAAGGTGCTTCTTCTGGCTGTTTTTTGCTCAGCTGGACTGCACTTGGTCTATTCACATACATTTATGGTCCTTTAATACTAGCCATGTATCCTTATATCTGATTCCAGGCACCTTCTTCAAATCTACTATGATTGTGTCACATCTTATACTATCTGTTGTCCACAGATGGAATCTGTATTACATGACATGATGCTTGTCTCTTAAGTTCTGCCTCATGTATCCTGTTCGTTACTGGATGAAGAGTATACCTCTTCCAGAAGTAGTGCTGTGCCCCATAGGTGTGCCTCCTTTTATAATTGTGGCACACATGTTCTTTCAAGGTGATAGTTCTCCACTTGTTTGATTACTTTGCACCTTCACTGGGCTCTCCACCTTTGCAATGTGTGATTCTAGCTTTGGGTGAGGGGAGGTAGTAAAATTTTTTAACACTGAAAATTTATTTTCAAAAGGTAATTACCTTCTCTCACCCACTTCCTGCCCTTCCTCCCCATGGATTTGCTGGTGCTTCTGGCTTGTATCTATCAATTCTCGAAACCTGTGCTAGTATAGGTGGTCCAATATGAATGGTGGAGAGTAATCACATGATCAGCACATTTTGCTGCAATGGCACAAAAATGAAGGGGTATAAAAGACTGGTGTGCTGTTAACAATTTTTTTTAACAATGCTTAGAGGGCAAATCAAGGTTGAGGTATGTATCTTTTGGAAATACATTTTCAGTGTTAGAATTTTTGAATTAGTTCCTTATAACATTATGAACTTAAAATTTATATAATATTAAAATTTGGTGTATTATGCACATTTAGATATCAAGTTTATTTGTATACATTGATAATAAAGTAGTTTAATTAAATTTTGATGTAAATCTGCAGAAGTTCATGACATGCTGACTTTGATCTACCCATTGCGAGAGGGTTAAAATAACTTGTCTATTAGATATGGTGTACATTATGGTGATAAGAAAACGTTAGAGCCAGCTATTGTGTCCAATGCCTAGGAATGCCAAGAATAAATTAACCCCTTACCTACCGAGGCCATTTTGTCTTATCGTGAGGGCAAAATCGCATTTATGAATTGAAAAAATTATAGAGAACTCATCTTTTTTTGGGTTTTCAGATTTTATTTTTGTAAATAGAAGCATAAAATTCAATTATTTGTACTAACTTGTAGTATTTAATGAAGTTTGAAGAGAAAGGTAAGAAAAAAATCCCAAAATATGTTTGGGACTAAATAAATGTCCTCAAAGGAAAAAATTTTTCCTTGCACTTTAGCATTGGTTCTGCCATCTATGATTGTTATCTAAACCTTTTTCTAGTCTATTTTTTTTATGAAACAGGATCTGGGCATGTTAAACCTCAGTTGTAAAACTTTTAGCCAATCCTAGTCAAAACTGTCAATTTCAGTACCATGTTATTCTAATTGCTGTATTTCACGTTTGACAAATCATTGGATGATAAGCAAAGCACATGATGAAACATTGTTCTCTGGATTTTACGAAATGAATATTGGGTGGTGCTTATTATAGTAATTGCCATTTTATGTAGAGGTTGTATTTAGCAGTGGTCAATAGTACTTTTTTGTAAGCCTTAAAAAATTTACTTCTGGAAAAAACTGTAAGGGATATATGTGACATTTATTATTTTTCTGTAGTAGCTTAAATCATACTATATCATATATCTATTTATATTAATCATTATATTGAAAAATTAACTCAAAATAGATATATTTTTAGGAAAGAAGTTGATCCACGAATGTTAGGGTTAAGATCTATCGAGTGGTGAGTGCATGGTCTTTACGTAAATTAGGGTTAGCACTTTGAACTAAAGAGTTTATGAAATTTATATTCTTTTGCATTTAAATTAGCAGTTTTAAGTTCAATAATTTAGTGTAATTTTATATTTAGTTCATAATACAAAAATGTTTCAGTATTCATAATGATAAACTTGTGTGACTTGTACATACTACTAGTACCATGTTAGAATTAAATATTTTTCCTTCATACTTCTTACTATCTTTACTTTGTAGTAAAACCCACATTTATGTTATTGTTGCTTTATAATTAAAACAGTTGATGTATAAAAAGTGTATTCTGATATTTTGCAAGTGGTTTAAAACTCAGTGTGTAAGTGACAACAATAAAATTCATATGTTGGTTGTGAAACAAACTAAACACGTTCATCTTAAAAATACAGGGGAAGCTGTGACATTCTCACAGTTGGGGTGCTGATACACCGAAGAGCTTAAGTTTTGAGTTCCGATATAAATCTTACCTATAATAAAAGGAATGTGACCAGGACTAATCTTTTAAGTGCTACAAAGTGATTTTCTTTGTAATTTATGGTGTATGTATCCTTTGGTAATCTCTTGTAACAGGATGTATCATGTAACTAGGGTCAGTCATTGTTATTCAAACCACCCTTATGGTAAGCTATTACATACAATCACTAGTAGTGGCAATTAGAGTTTTGTCTGCATAGTGAAACGATATACAAGGACATGTGTTTGAAAGTTAAAGAAATGATATTCAAGTACCAAAAAGCTTTCTTACTATCATATCCACAGTAATGTTCAAATGTGCCTGCACTGGACTGAACAAGAGTGACCCCCAACAGGCATGATAGTTTACGGCAAGTGTATAAAGTTCACGCTGCTAACCTCATGGTTTTTTTGGCACAATATACAAAAGTACAGCTGCAATGAAACATAAACTTGAAATAAAAATACATTTATGAAACAAAATTAATATGTTTTTTATGTAAATATAAAAACATGAAATCCTATTTAAAAATAAAAAATACTTGTTTATTGTTTAGGTTTACTTAGAAATATTATATTCGTTATTGTGTTTTACTTGAAACTTTTACTTTTTACTTGAAAGGAGAGTACATGATTATTAAAAAATTAAAAATACACAACATTAGCATTTTATGGATGATAAAATAATGTAATAAAACATAAAATATAAGAAGTTCAAATATAGGAACAAATATACATATATGTACCATTTCCTAATGTAATTTTCCAAGATAGTAAAAGATGATAATG